TATAAAAATACATGTGTATGATGTATTCTCTTGCATTTTTTTTCACACGCTCACGATAACTTTTCTTTTCGACAATGAGTGCATGGCCGTCTTGTACATGATATATAAAGGCAGCTATATATAATATTGTATAGATCAGGTATTTTGGACAGTTACAACATTGTTCCGCAAACAGTGACATCACAATATAGTGTAAAGCGCATAGAGCCTGCTGTTGAGCGGGGATATGCGCTATACAAATGCTATCTATTATTATTATTATTTATTATTAAAAAGTTGAAAGAAAACGAAGCAGGAATTTTATAAGGGGATGTAACCCTAAGAAGTGTGTACATGGTTGATACATGTATAACTGGGTTGCTTCCCGTGACAAAGACCTCGTGATAAAACAAACGGCAAGATGCCGGCATGGTTGAGGCCATATCATTACGAACAGAACACGTGCCAAAAATAACACCTGAGGTTAAAACAAACAAAAAAAGAAAGAAAGAAAAAAAAGAGGGTAGGGTGGGGAGAGGGGGAGCTGCAAGTATGAAATGATAACGTTTTAGAATACTTGTTAACACTTTATATCCCATGTCACTGGCTCTACGTCTCTCTCTTCTCCAGTTTAGCCTCTATAACCGCCCTTCTATGAACTGTAGAAACGGAATTATGTGATTTTAATTAACCCCCCCCCCAAAAAAAAAAAAATTAAAAAATCAAAGAAAAACAAAACAATATTGTACTATCCCCCCTCCCCCGAGTAATCAAATATAATCTTGTTTTCTTCCCCTTTATCTCTTTATTACATTCATAATGATTTTCATTCGCCGATAAGCGTATCAATTTTCATTGTTGATGCCTTGTCCTACGGACAGCAAATAATTTATGCAAAGTGAAAAATAAACTAAAATATATGTATATGTATTTGCATGATCTGAAAATTAGATTCATAGGCGTTTGGAAACTTATAATTTCATACTAATACTATAGAAAAGTCAAGTGACCAAACCAAATTCACAGATTGTCAGTTTGGGCGATTGACCATTTTGGCCATAAAAGAAAATCATTTATATTCTTTGAGTATTTTTGTCTAAATTAAAGACTTGCCAATGAAATTGTGTTTTCTTTAATTGAAAACTGAGTTTAAAAGAATTACGTTAACTGAGAAAAAAGTCACAGCGCATTTCTTAACACAAGGGAGTGCCTGTCTGTGAATTTTATCCTCTCCGAGCTATTTTGAATTTTTAACCAATGAGCAAAAAGGTTATACTCGTTGCTGCTCTGGCCACAATATAATGGCGTAAAACGCCGAGGGTCCCAGACAAGGTCCATACTCATCATAGACTCATAGGCACATGCTAAGAAGGCTTTGGAAAATATAACATCCGTGTTTATAGGCCTCCTGTATTAATTACAGGATATATCTCTCCTCAAGGGGGAAGGGGCACGGTATGAGTATAGGACAACGATCTCTCTATAAGTCGAGGGCAATAGTGTAGACTAAGGACGTATTATTGCAAGGATAACACTAACAGAAGTGTTCAGCGCTTCTTTTTAAACAAAGACTGCTCAATTTTACACATATTTAAAACGGCTTGCCGGTGTTCTACTCAGTTAAGTCTGGGTTAAGTTGCAGACTAGTGAGAGTGGATCATGGTGGAGCAAAAAAAGAGGAATGGCTTCTCGTTGAAGGAAAAACGGTTGATCCTAGCTAAACTGGATTTTTAAAAAAAATTAATTTTTTATATATATTTATATGACATGTACTCTCTTGCATTTTTTCACTCTCTTGCCCCTTTAAACTCTTAGTGACTTAGTGGGGTATAGGCCATCAACAACATTTCTCCAGCGAAGCCTGTCCCGTGCATCCTTTTCCAGCTGTTTCCATGATGTCCCCGCCTTTTCCATTTCCGCTTGTACCGCTCTCCTCCATGCCTCCATGTCATCTTTGGTCTTCCTTTTTTACGTTTTCCTTGTGGATTCCACGTCAAAGCTTGTCTGATGATGGATGATGCTTGTCGGGGGTCTCCTCAGGGTGTGCCAAATCCATTTCCATTTCTTCACCTGTATGTCTTCCTTTACTGGACTTTGGCTTGTTCTTTCCCACAGTTGAACATTTGTGACTCGATCTTACCACTTGATCTCCACTTCCCTTCTTAGACATCCATTTATGAAGCTCTGCAGTTTCCTTTCTGCTAATGCTGTGAGCCTACACGTCTCTGCACCATATAGTAGAACAGTCTTCACTTTTGTTTGAAGATACTAGGGCTGTACCCCGGTAGCAAACCCACTCGTGCTCACAAGCCCCTAGTTCAAGTCACAAGCCTCAAATCAGTAGGTCAAATCATCAAATCAAATCACCAGCATGATAAGTTGAGTCTAGCGCAAACTGTAACCTCCTTTGTCTAGTCTAAACTTCAAGTCCACAGCAACTAGCAATCCGCGAAGCCACTCGTGTCAGGCCCCCTCATCATCCTCACCCTGCTTGCAATCCGCGAAGCCATTTACGTCAGAAAAAGAGAGAGGGGGAGAGTGAGAAATCTCGCCCACAGAGTCACTGCGCGGCGTGGCGCTGTAGTTTACTCGATTAATCGAGGCCTGCGCAAGCCTCAAGTCCCGTCCGCTGCCACAGGCCTCACAATTCACACAGTACTGATTTGCGCTAGGCTTACAGATTTGCCCCAGGACAAGCTCCAAACCTGACCTGCTGACTTGTACTGTCTCGATACACCGAGCGAGCGGCACGGGCTCGATGGCGTAGGACCGTCTTGATGGCGACAAGACAGTCCGATGTGTTCAAACAGCAAGACAGTACTGTGCGCTGTGTGAACTTTGAACCGTGGAGGAAGGGAGAGGCTGGGCTTGTTTTGGTGCAAGGCGTAGAGAGCTGAAGTTATTTTTAACTTCCCGCCGTTGATCAGCTAAGCGAATGGATAAGTGAGAGGGAGCGTGGTATTGTAGTAACAGAGACCTAGGTTTCTGGTAGTAATAAGAATAAGTTGACTTAGATTACCCTAGAATGGAGAACTCCAGGGGTCGTTGTGATTGGCTTTTGTATCGTATGTATGTAACCTATTTTGTAGATGTGTTACACTCACAGTGACATAATACAGAACATTTAGGAGACGGGCTAGGCCTACTTCAACCCAATGTCAGGGCCAACCTGGGCTGAGAGGGAACAACGCCCCAGCAGAAAGACGGAGGTTCTCAGTAAAAATTTCTCCCCTTACGGGAATCGAACTGAGGTCTTTTGCGTGCGACGATGAAGCGCTTGGCTCGTGCACATTAAAAATAAACAGGCCTTAACATCATAAGAATAGCCGATCCAATATTAATTTTTAAGTGCATTGAATAGAGCTTTTTGTTTTTTACAACCGAACTATGAAAAAACCCCAACCGATCTTGCACTTTTGGTGCAAGCCTCTCAGCGCAAATAACCAGAGAATCTATAATATGTACAGAGCCCACTGCCACGAGAGTTCGCGACGTCACGACACAGTACAGCAGGACTGTCCGCGAGTCACAACTCACCGGAAGTTCCCTCCGGTAGCAAGCGGGAGGCAAATCAAACCACAAGCCTGCTCGCAAGACTCTAGCGCAAGACTTCCGCTGCTTTACAAGCCTTCGATTAACCGAGCAAAATCCAGCCCTAGAAGATACTCAGCTTGGTGTTCAATCCCAGTTCCTTAGATATCCATATATTTCTGAGGATGATGAATGATGCTCTTGCCTTTTAGATTCTTATCTTGATGTCTTCGTCTGTTCCCCCTGCCTTGTTGATGACACTTTCATTTTTTTTTTTTCACACGCTCACGATATAACAACTTTTCTTTTCGAGAATGAGTGGCCGTCTTGTAATGAGTGGCCGTCCTGTACATGATTATGATGTATAAAGGCAACTACATCATATGTAGTTACCCCGCGATATATATTGTACAGATACAGGTATTTTGGAAAGTTCCGACATTTTGTGCCGCAAACACTTCAAACAGTGTCATCATAATATTTATTATAAATTTATTAAGTTGAAAGAAAACGAAGCTGGAATTTTGTAAGGGGACGTTACCCTAAGAAATTTGTATATCATGACAACATGGTTGATATAACTGGGTTGCTTCCCGTGATAAAGACCTGTAAAACAAACGGCGAGAGGCCGGAGATATTTTGTTGAGGCCAGGCCGTTACGAACTAGCCTAACACGTGCCAAGAATCAGACCTAGCCTAAAGTTCGAAAAAAAGAAAGAAAAAAAAGTGAGGGGGGGGGGGGGATGGATGGGTGGGAGGGGGAGGTTCAAGTATGATTAATGGTAACGTTTTAGACTTGTTAACACCTTATATCCCGATTTTCTTACTGGTTCTACATCTCTCTCTCTTCTCCAGTTGAGCCTCTATAACCGCCCTTTTATGAACGATAGAAATGGAATTATGTGATTTGAATTACCCCCCCCCCCTCAAATCAAACAAAAACAAAACAATATTGTATTATTCAACCCCCCCCCCCCCCTTAAAAAAATAATCAATAATAATCTTGTTTTTTTTTGTCCTTTAGGCCTATCTCTTTATTACGTTCATAATGATTTTCATTCGCACATTAGCGTATTAATTTTCACCGTTGATGCCTAGGCATACGGACAGCGAATAATTTATGCAATGTCAAAAATAAATATATTTTGTATGATCTGAAAATTAGATTCCTAGCGTTTGGGAACTTATATTAACTAGGCTAGGCCCTGTAGAAAAGTCCAGAGACCAAACCAAATTCACAGATTGTCAGTTTGGGTGATTGACCATTTTGGCCAAAAAAGAAAATCATTTATATTCTTTGAGTATTATTGACTAAATTGAAGACTTGCTAATGAAATTGTGTTTTCTTTAATTGAAAACTGAGTTTATAAGAATTACGTTATCTGAGAGAAAAGCCACGGCGCATTTCTTAACACGAGGGAGTGCCTGCCTGTGAATTTTATCCTCTCCGAGCCATTTTGAATTTTTAACCAATGAGCAAAAAGGTTAAATTCGTTGCTGGCTCTGGCCACAATATGGCGTAAAACGCCGATGATCTGTGGTTCGCAGCTGTAAAAATATTGTGCAAAGACTTATTTTAGCAATTTTCTGTGTGATTTTATTACTGCCGAAGGAAAATATGACATCTTTACATTTTGCTGTTCAACCATTACCTGGAAATGATGACCAACTTATCGACAAGTAAGCCAATTTGTTTTGTGTGGTAAACTAGAATCTAGAAAGGGACAAGTCCTCAGGCCTCCCAGTACTTTGACTGATGAGTCGTTTAGTTTTTGTGTCGTGCAGACTCTAGGTCTAGGATGATCAATTTTTTCATCATGGAGTCCTGGTCAAACGATTGGTGTACGTCCGATTGAGTTTTCCAACACCGAGCTAATACTAATATATGTTGTTTGAGTCCTTGTTGTTACTTTGAGTCTGATATTAGACGTCTAGGAGGCCCAGATCATCTAGAATCTAGAATCTAGACTCTAGATTCTACCTCTTTTCAAGTCTGGGGACTTTTTAGGTAGGTGAAATTGTGTGGATTATTGTCACATTGATTTTATTGTTAATTAATTAGGCCTAGAGAATACAGTAGAATCTAATCTAGATCTAGATCTAGAATACTCAGGCTCAGACCAGGTCCATACTCAGTCATAGTCATAGTGGAGTCATCATAGCACATGATGCTAAAATAAAAGGCTATCCTCACCCGTGGTGACAATAAAAATATGATCGATCTCTCACCCCGGGTGAGACTTGCCTGCTTTGGCTATTCTCACCCGTTGTGAAACAAGACCTGTTTTTCCGGTAAGATTGAAGAATACCGGACCAGCGGACTGACTTTGCCTTTGTCTCAACCTGAATTCATGATTTTCCCCAGTTTTTATCTCTCAATGGAGAATCTCGGACCAGTAGATCTATTCATTAAAATTTGGAAGTGGCTATTCTATTCTCAGCCGGGGTGAGAATAGAAATACGATCTACCTCTCACCCCGGGTGAGACTTGCCAGCGTAGGCTATTCTCACCCGCTGTGAAACAAGACCTGTTTTTCCTCATTTTGGAATACTGTGTCTATCGGTGTGGATCATCAAATTGATAAAAGCCAAGAAAAAATTACGTTATAGCACAAAAGTAAGCTAATTTGATCGTCTTCAAAGATGCTATGGCTATTTCACTTTTCGAATCGAGCCGAACTACGCAGGTTGCCATTTTGTTTTGCCCGGAAGTTCTCGCAAGATCTACTCCTCCCCTCTCAGCTCTCTCTGTCTCTTTTCTGAATACTGTCTATCGGTGTGGACGATCAAATTGACCTATACAAAGTTAAAACGAAGTGGCTAGCCGTACTTAAGTACGGCTAGTACTTAAGTACGGCTAGACTGCTAGTCTAGCCATCTAGGTTTGGCCCTATCGACTCAAGCCTGTTAAGTACACAGGTCTCATTAGATCTAGATCTAGTAATTATTCAGGTTCAAATACATAACATGCAAGTCAGTAAGGCGCCTTTTGGTTTTGTCTGAAATACAAATACTTTAGGCATTGCAAACTAAAAATTTCATTTACAATTCAGCCATCAATATTAAGTACGACTAGACTGACAGTCTAGTCGTACTTATCTTAGGCCCTATTAACATTAGAAAACAGGAGGTTTAGAATGCTATAATTCTGTTATCACAGTGTAGAATTCTGTGGTTCAGGGTGAACGCTTCACTGGTTGGCCTACGGTGAACGCCCACCGGGTGAGAATAGCCAAAAGACTCGCCTGCGCTATTCTCACCCGGGTTGAGAATAGAGGTGGCCTTAAAATTCATCCACCTTGAAGACACAGAGTCTTGAATCTACACATGTATCTAGGTCAAGTGCACGCCAAATTCAAATAGTGAAAAAAAAAAAGAACGTAAAAGTAAATAAAACTCTCAAAAATTAATTTAACTTTGTAATCGGGCATTAAATTGCAATCCCCATGTAATATTTGCTAATTTTGGGTCGCTGATCACGAAAATCTTACCATTTCTTAAATTTGGCCAATATTTAAGAAATTTTTGTTCATGCATTTTTAACTCCGCCTAGGCCAACATCAAAGAATCTATTAAATCTCTACCGCGCTAGTACAGTCCTGTCGTGGGATAGGCCTGAGGCCTAGGGCTGTCCTGGCCCATAGTCGAGTTTTTCGCTTCAAAACAGACACCACACCAGGACAGGACTGATCCAATGTCTGCAGCCTGCTTGTTTGTTTCTTGATTTGGTGTAATGAATCAGTAAGTGTAGATTTTGTCAATCTTTAGGCCTAGCCAGTCGAGCTGCCAGTTTTTGTCTGTCAAGTTTGCTCTCTTTTGCACCTTATTATTTGCTGAACTCATGATGATCAGTGAGGTACATCTTAGACCTAAAGCAAACGTTGATACGTTTTTGTACCCACTGTTCGCAAAGCGGTGTGCTCATTTTTATAGAGCAGCCTCTTAGCTCGTGGGTGTAAGGAATCAGTATTGAGTTTATATTGCAATAAAATAGCTCCTTTCCCGTTCATTTTATTTTAAAAAGATTTTTTATGTTTTTAAAATATACAGTGCTTCTAATCTTCATGTGGCATGTGTGAAAGTAAAATATTTTCAAGTCAGGGCTCCCCATTACGCACAAATTCAAATGTGCGTAATATTACGCATTAAACCAGCAGATTACCTCCTTTAAGTTTTGGTGATGTGTGAGCGTTACTCTTTAAAATTTGTTTTAGGGGTTTGCATGTAAACGCTTCAAAACATGGTGGTGTGTGCGTCTGACAAGCATCACTTTCCCGCTTCTCTATCTCGAAGCCGAGTCATTGGTTTGACAAAACACTCATATATATATATATATAATATATATGTATAATTATATATATAATATGTGGCAGTCACCTTTTCTCTCTGTTAGGTATAACCAAAAAAACCCCCCACAACCAATAAAAATAACCCTTTTAAGTTTCCAAAACAAGGGTATAAATACCCTTAATAAAAGATAGAAAAACAAAGGGTGAAGGAACCTCTTAATTAAGTTGAAAAGTGGAGCCCCTGCAGGTTAAAGTATTTTTGCTTCAATGTCAAATTTCCTTCCTAAGTTCTAAACTTGCTTATTTAGAACTCTGAATTGACAATTAAAGTAGGCTTAAACTTAGCCTGAGACGAAAACATTTATTTTGGCTTTTGGTCTTTGGTCTCAACTTACATGTCTAGCCCAACAAATCTTGTTAAAGTAGAGATCTGTCAAACTATACTCTTGACAGGATAATACTTTTACACCTCTTATTTTTACAATTGAATGCTTCATGCCTACCTCCGAAATGGAAAGCTCAGTCTTAAATGATGCACAATGCCTTACATTTGTAGCATATTTGGTTTGTTATGCTATTGGGAACTAACGACTTGCTTTGTGCACAAAAAATAGCTGATTGATTTACAGGGGTACTTAGGTCATGCATTCACGGAAGTCTACCAGATCTGTCAATAAAAGTCATCATGCGAGTTGTTTTGCCATTCCAACCATTGACGTGTTTTTTGCCCATGCCCCATTAATTAATGAATTTATGATTTTATGGCCCTCGGAAGCTTACAAACACCTGATACAAAATCTATCTTTGTTCCCTAAATCCGTTGTGGAGAATTCCGGCAGTCTTGTTGCCATATTAATTGAACTTTATTGCAAATCCTACTTACAAAAGGGGGAAAAATAATATATTTACTTTCCATTTTTCAGATTAAGAGAGAATCTATTTTTATTTTCCATTTTTCAGACTGAGAGAAGTCTCCGACAGATTTAGTCAACATGGGTTCACAGCACCTGCTGCTGTGACATCTCTGAGGAACATCACAATCACAGAGTGCGTTGTCGGCCCCACTCACATTGCTTTATTGAGAGAGGTGAGTAACGTAGCTCCAGACATTTTGTACGAAGGCAGATTTGTGTAGAAATTTTTGTTTGTTCATATAACACAGTTAATATTTCCGTTGACTTGAATGAAAGTGAAAACTGTTAGATCTAGATACAATTTTAACCTTCTGACTGATTTGCTTCAGATAGGCTAATATGTGTATGTTTTTTAAAATTTTGATTGATTTTTTTTCTTCTTTTCCTCCACGTGAATATTTTCTTGCCTGTATTGCACTGTATTCTTCTCGTATCAAATTTTAATTCTTTTTTGTAACTTGAAATTGAAGAAAACTATTCTTATTTTTTTGGTGATGAAAATGCAAAATGTGTGCATATTTTCAACTAAACTAACAAAATAGGAGTTAAAGTTAAAGTTTTTAGAATTATGAAGTTTACGCTAATACTTCTTCCTGTTCTCTGTCATTTGATGAATTAGGATGGAAGGGTGTGCAGAGTGCCATACCTTGTGGCGACAGAAAAGCTGGACCTCAGTAAGACGGAGCCAAAACCGTGAGTCTTGTCTATTGATAAAATTGATCTGTTTTTGGTTGTTGTTTTTTTAGCTTTCACTATTTTTGTTTGCTCAGTTGTGAATTCCTTGAATATTCGTCATGCCAAAACTCTTCTGTTTCAGTTAAGGGGAAATGAATAGAATTACTCTGTTTTCTGCTTTTGTCTTCCGTGTATAAGCAGACTTTTACTCTGTCATTACTTTAAAAAAAAGATTATTCTAGCTGGTAGTGGGTCCTTTGACGTAGTGTGTTCTCTACCTTTGTTTGGTTAGTGTTACTGGTTTCCTCATCTGTTCTTGACAAATTATGGCAGCAGTTGTAGATCTAGCGATGGTAATGTGAAAAAAACACCAATTCCAAGAACTATGTTTTCTTACAAGATACAAAAGAAGGTGTTGCTAAACGAGTTTTAGAATTATTTTTGCTTAACCGCAGGAATCTGTTCCTGTGTTTGAATCGCCTTATAATCCAGGGAAAATGTGTATGGATGGCAAGGGCATTCCACTGGTCTGATAGGGCCTACTTCATTTATTCGTAAAAAAACCCCCAAAATCTGACTTTTTCCCTACAGTAAATGATAGTTATTGTGTTGGGTGCTCTTGTGTGGTTTGTTCTTTCTTTCATATTCTAATATCTAGCAGCCTTCTCTGTCCTTTTTTTTTTTTTTTTTTTTTTTTATCTTTTTGTTAATTAATTCATATTTCATTTTTTTATCATGTGGGTTATTTTCATCTTTTTTTTTTTTTTTTTTTGGTCTATCTTTTTGTATGTTACTCTCTAATAATCAGCTGCTTGCATCGTATGTTTCCTGCAGAGAATGTTTCAGAGTGTTCATGGGTCTACTGGGGTATTAATAGATTGTAAAGCCCATAGACAGAGCTTGCTGTTGAGTGGGTATATATGCGTTATACAAAAGCTAGATTTTATTATAATAGTAATACCTCTAATCTTTGGCATTTATATAACCTATTTGGGTTACAAGTGTTGTAATACTCTTACAAAAACAAAACTACTAAACGCAAATGTCTGACACTAAGGAAGTGTCATAAAACTCTTACTATAACAAAACTATAACTGAACACGAATGTCTAATTATATATTCAAATGTCGTAAAACTCTTACTGGAATAAAACTACAACTCAACACGAATGTCTGGTCTGACTTTATAATTATGTGGGTGGTTGGCTCCTTCTTTCCAATAAAAAATCTATCGTCTTTGTCTCCCCTCTTTTTATTTTGTGTTTGTTACTCTCTGGTAACATCTCTAATCTTCGGCACTTACATGACCTTATTGTGTTGCAAGTGCCGTAAAACTCTGTACTAAAACTGACTCTATATATGATTGTCTTGTCTCAGGAAAGCCAGCAAGCTGGAGAAGATGGAGCGCACACCGTCCTCGACCGCCCGCAACGGATCCCTGGTCATGGAGTCTCCCATCGTTCTCGTGTCGGACTCATTGGGCTCGGCCGCTGCTCAGTCCACTGCCTCAGGGTCAGTAGGAACAACTACAGCAAAGTGTTTTTGTTGGTGGTAGAAGGGGTTTGGTCTTTTCTCACAGCTGTTGTGTTTCTTTTGTAATGTCTTGATATACTGTTTCAGAGATGCCAACCAGTACGATTTTACGTATTTTAGTACGATTTTTTGCCGAAAATACGCGAATACGACTTTTCATGAAAAAATACGCATCCTGGAATGCGGAAAATACGAGATTGAGTAAACCTATCTCAAGTCCCATCTTTTGTCAAAATAGTATCAGTATCGCAGAACCGGAATATTTGAAAACCAAGTCCAAAGTCGTTAGCAAGTTTATTTTTGCCGGTCGCGATCGTGATATTATATTCGTTAGCTTCTCCCGGTCCGGAGAGTACGTTTCACTTTCACGCGAATAGGCAGCTATGGCGGTGGGCGGAAGCGTATGTGACACCGAGGCTCGATCGGGAAAATCAAGATCTACTTTCGCTTTCGTTACCACCGAGTAGTTTGCCAGCAGTTGTCTGATAACGCAACTTTTGTGACATGCAGGTTGTGCAGTATAAACGCAAGGTGGCCGTGCAAATAAAATTTAATCATTGCTCGGACTTGCCCCTGTGCTGTCACTTGTGGAAAAAAAAGAAAAGAAAATACAAGCGTAGTCCGATTTTTAGATTGTTTGGCTCGCCATCGTGACCGGTCACTGAACCTGCGCGCATTCGTGTCATAAATAAATGCGGCATCGTGTGAGCAAAGATCGTCTTTGGTGGGAGTAACAGCCTTGCGAAGTATAGGACTACGGAATAGGGGAGGAGATTATGGATTTTTGGGGGTTTAAGATATGGGGGAGGGTGTGATGGCAACACCGGAGGACAAAAACTTGGAAGCACATTTCAAAATTTTGATTAGAGCTTTCTGCAAAGCGCGCTTTGGTGCAGGCCGTGTGCGGAATCGGGACCCTTCAAACTTTGCAAGTCTGTGTTATTGAAATAAAGTGTTCGCGTTTCATTGGATGGGTGATAGTAAATTATACCTAGCCTACAGTGCATGTTGTGGCTTTCTGTTCAAGACTAGTAGATTTTCAGTGTCACTACATCTTGCCCTACCACAGCTATTACAACTCTCACAGTGCATGGGTCTACTTGAGTCATTCAAGTTATCGCTTTTCTCTGAGTTTGAGCAATAATTTGAGTCTGTCAGTTCATAATATGAATCATGACACCCAGACTGGTTCTTGGTTGTTGAAATTTTTGTTCTAGGCTCTTCTGAACTCTCAAAGCAGGATTTATTTTTTACGTAATAATGAGAGGAAAATATTAACGGTATAATAGACTGAAATATTTAAGTCAAACAAGACCCCAGTACGATACTGAACACTGACATGTTGTTGACTGGATACATGTATATTGTACGCGTATGTGCTCCCTTTTTCGAGCTGGTGAGCTAGTAATTTTTTTTCAGGAAATATTGCTGAACCCCTTTAACATTTTACTATTACTAGTCGGTCGGTCGGTCGTGGGGAATACACATTTTCCCCTGAAAATACACATTTTCATATTTCCCAATACTCATTTCGGTTTTCTGTGGTTGGCATCTCTGCTGTTTATTTTTAATACAATTATTACACTACCACCACCCCACCCCTCCCCTCCCCAATCCCCTTAACCCCTTCAATGCCGCAGGTAAATAGGCCCATGTGCCGGGGGGGAATCCTATGTACCAAGGCGGCTCAGGGGTGACCCCACTCTACCTCCCATAACTTTTTATTTTATGAAGATTTCCTAAATTATTTCTGCATGTACATTCTACATTCAACCACGTTACTATTTATATAATTTTTGGGGTGGGGGAGGGGGGGCGGTTACATTGTGAGTTAGATGGAGAAAAGTTGGAGTTAATAACATGCCAGAAACAACACCATCAAACGACATAAACCAACACACATTGGAGTAATGATAAACTGAGACAAAAAAAAGGGGGGAATGCATTTTGTGTGTCTGCAGATAAAGAGGAAGTGACAAGAAGCTTTTCATATCTCTTACAAGACTTGTACAATCCATATATATACATGTAAGCCCATCTTTGTTTACTGCCAATAAATTATTTTTGTGCGCTAGATGTTTTAGATCTAGATCTAAATCTAATCTTCTTTTTGAGCTAAAATCTGAATCTGACGCTTTCAATATGGGGGGGAAATGATGTTAAACATTAAGGGATGGTACCCCAATAATAATTACAAGATTTTAGCAGTAACTTCCGTTACAATTGGTATCAAAATAATCTGTGTCCCAGTCCCGTAGATTCTACGGGCCATAGGCACAGCACTACACGGTTCAGGCCCGTAAATTCTACGGGCGCGGCAGAGAAGATGATAAACAAAGGATTTTGAAGAATTTCATTTTCCCCCTTTGATTTTGACTTCTTGTATCTAACATCGGACGTCCTTATCTCTTTTCTTCCTTTTTTTATGTGCAACTCTCTAGTAACACCCCTAATCTTTTGCCCTTATACAACCTTATTGTGTGGGTCGTTGGCAGGTACTCTGGTGTGGGTTGCTTCTTCTTTCTTTTCAAACATATCTTCCTTATCTTTCCTTTTTTGTGTTTGTTACTTTCTTGCAACACCTCTGTCGGCACTTATATGACAGTATTGTGTCGCAAGTGCCGCAAAACTCTCACTAGAATAAAAGATACAACCTATTTCAAACTATTTGCGTTGCAAGTGTCTTAACATTCTTACTAAAACTTTTTAAAAACTACGACTTCCCGGAATTATTTATCAGTTGTTGTTATCGATCCAGAATTTTTCATAACTGTGATAATTGTGTCCCCCACAGACGATGGCCCGCTTCGGCCGTGACCTCCAATCCCCCCTCAGCGACCCGCGGTGGGTCAGCAGCCAGCGGTGGGACGACCAGTGTCGGCGGGAGCAGCACCAGCGGGGGTGGTGGGGGCGGGGGCGGAGTCAACAACAACCAGCCCACCAGCTTCAGCCGCATGCAGCGGGCCGTGCACGTCAGCCGCGGGGGTCGGAGGTCGGGGGTCATTGTTGGCGGCAGGCCCCTCGTGCCCGCCTCTGTTGTTCCAGAGGATCTCATCAGCCAGGTAGGTTTATTTCTTTATTTCTCTTAGCAGGCTTATCAACTCGTCGCCTCAATGATTTTGTTCTAGTCATACCTAAGGGAAGAGTGCACTTTGGACAAATTAGTTCAAAATTTCCAAGGGCTGTCTCAGATTTATTAATCAGGTGTAGAGGGTTTGGCAATTTGGGGGAGGGGCAGGGCAGTGTTGTGGTTATGGCATTCTTTCATTTTGTAATCTAGAGGCTTCAGGTTGGATCCCGTTCAGAATGCTATTGAATGGATTCTTTTTATGACCATAAATGTTCTTACCTCTTGTGAAAATGTCCTGATCATGTCTTAGAATGTTTCATCTTTTCGTTTTACGTGTAAAGAAAAAGAGATCTGTAAGATATTGTTATTTAGTGTTTTTTCTGTTTGATCGGTGGATACAATTTGCCCCCCAAAAAAGCATGTATATTATTTTAAACTTTCAGTGTCAGGTTGTGTTACAAGGGAAGTCCCGGAATCTCATCATCAGGGAACTACAGAGAACGGTAAGATTTATATTGGCTGAATAATATTTACTTTTGGGTTGTTTTTTTCCTTTCTTTTGTAGTCTTGATATACTGTTAATTTTTAATACAATTATTACCCACGATAAGCATGGATAAGGATCTATACAGACGGATCTGCCACTGATGCTGTGAAAAGAGGAGCCGGAGTGTACGTACAGTTCCCAAATGGACAACGACAAGCAGAGGCAGTCCCAACAGGGCGACATTGTACAAACTACAGGGAAGAGACGGAGGCTCTAGTACATGCAGCAAACATCATCAAGAATGTGGTAGACCCCCAAAGCCAAGTAGTATTCCTAACAGGTGCCATGTCAGTACTGCAGGCAATCACTTCCGGCAAACTACCAAGGCTACGAAAAGAAATTGAGGACATCCCATGTCTGAGGATCATGCTGCGGTGGATTCCATCACACTGTGGTGTCTTGGGAAATGAGCAGGCAGACAGGATGGCCAAACTAGGAGCACAAAAAGAGCAACCAGACAACAGCGTTAACTACACAGAAATAAAAACTATTATGAATACACTATTTAAAGCACCTCAGACACCAGATAACTACCATGAACTGTCCTGCCAAGAACAAGTGATTATCTTCAGACTAAGGACACAACACACAAGACTGAGACAACATATGTACAAATGTTTTAAACTAGTACAATCACCAAAATGCCAGTGTGGAGAGGCGGACCAAACTGTTGAACACATCCTTCAGCACTGCAAGACACACAGGGCCCTGAGACAGGAAACGTGGCCAACCCCACTGAGGCTACAAGAGAAGCTATACAGGCCGCCAGATGAACTGAGCAGGACGGCCCAATTTATGACAGATACCGGACTTCAAGTGTGATGCGATCGAGAAGAAGAAGAAGAATACAATTATTACACCCCGTGCCCGCCCCCTCTGAAACAAAAGATTTTGAAGAGTTTCATTTGTCCCTTTTGAATTTGACTTCTTGTATGTTTCAGTGTATCAAGTGGGTTGCCTTTCTCTGCTACCATTGTTGTAATTGTAAACTTGAAGCATGCTGACAAATTGAGTTACTTCTCTGATTTGAGCCCTATGGAAATACTTACATCACGCTTATAGGTGAAGTTTTTACAAGTTATAAATAAGTATGAAATAATAAAAGATATGTTTTATTTAAAGAACATGGCATCAATAGAAAATCTACCATTTTTACCTTAGTGTCAATTTTTGGCTAAAATCTACATTTGTGGATTGCGAGAGGTAACTCATTTTGTCTGCACACCTCACAAATGTTCTGTGTCTTATGCACTATTTGACCATTAGTGTTTCCATAAGTCGCTGGTTTCATGTGCTTATCTGTAATTGAAAACCTGAGAACAACACCAAGGTCAAGTCACATGATTTCGAGAAAATGAAAACCTCATTCCTGAAGTACATTCAAGTGAGTTCCGATTAGAGGGCTTAAATATACTTTTTTCTGGACTTGACCTTGTTGTTGCATTTCAACTTCGCACCTTGGAACAAGAATAACTGGGCGTAGGAACAGAATTGCGCTCCATCAGTATTATTAATAGGTAGCCCATTGTCACTGCTTTCAAATGATCTGCAGGACTTCTTTCTTTCTTTGTGGAAAATGTGACTTAACTTTGTTGTTGTTCTCAGGTCTTCAATTCTTATCTTGAACTCGAAGTGGAAGGTTTCTTTTTTCAACCAATGTTGCTTATTCTGTATTCCCAGAACCTGGATGTGAATATGGCAGTGAACAACCTGCTGAGTCGGGATGACGAGGGCGAGGGGGATGATGACGACAGCCAAGACTCGTACGTACCGGATGACCTCATCTCCCTCCTGGACTCTGGTGTGCACGAGCACCCGTCTGTCATCATCGAAGCGGACGCCATGTTCAACGAGGACGTTTTTGGCTATTCGTCGCTTCGCAGTCGGGGCTCCGGGACAAGGTCAAGACTAGGTATGCTTGCTTGTGTGTTGTTGGTGGAAAGCTGTTTTGGGTTGTTGGTTGACAGCTTCCTTTTGTCTTAACCCTCGAAGCGCTCCAGGCGACAAAACTCGCCTCCCCCTCTCACTCCGCTGAGCATGTGAGGCGACTATAATCGCCAACGGGCTTGCCAGCTCTCAAGGGCGTGAGGCGACTATTGTCGATTTGGGGGAACACCTTATTTTTGGAGCAAATAGCGTCACCTTTAGCTGCTATTATTAGTTCTCTAATAGAAATTTTTATTCTAGAATGGTTCAACCAATCAAAATCAAGGAAAATATAACCCAGGGGTCAAGGCACTGCGTGCCTTCATGGGTTCTGTTAGGGATAGACTCAACAATGTTTATTTAGGTCAATTATCCTGTAGCGCTGAACAGTGAATGAATGATTGGTTTCATTAACAGCTTATCATTTTGAAAACCATACCTCTGGAAAGTGTAGTCCGTTCTGAATTTAGAAATGTATTCTTGTCTAGGATTTTGCCTACTGTCAAGATACAAAATGAAACTATAACATTCCCTGCGTGGGCCTCAAACGACCGGGCCAGCACTCCGGGGCAGGTCACGAACAGTCAAGGCTGAGCGAGCCGGGCACGGAGCACGCTCAGCGCTTCCGGTTAGCGCTACGAGGGTTAAGAGAATAAGTTGGTGGCGCGGAGGGGGGGATCAGTTGGTTCTGTGGGTGACTGGTAAGTGCTCTGATTTGCTTTGTAGCTTGTTAGTATTGCAGTCGTGGTAATCTGTCCGTAGTATGTGGTTTGAGGATGCCATTGGTCGGATCCCATTTCTTTTCTTTAATTCTTGCCTGTCTGTCCTTTTCTATCTTTGCACTAAAGGATTGCTATTGTGTTTATATGCATTATCTTTACTCTAACTCGAACTATTGATAATCAACTGTACATGTTATCAAACTAACAATAAAACCACAACTGAACTCATATCTTTTTATACGCATATTTTTCTTTTGTGTTGTTCACAATCTTTTTTTTTTCCTTGTCAGGTGACCACGAGCACTTATTGACCTTTGTTCAAACTAAAACCAATTATGAATGAAAAATGATATTGTTTTTCCCACCGCGTTAGGTGACCGCGAGAGAGAGCAGCTGGACAGAGACCGTGACTCCATCTTTCGCATCCGAGACCACCGACGCAGACTGGAAATGTCGTTCCGTGACGAAACAATCAAATCTCTAGAGAGGGATGAAGGTAAATCAGCTGGGGCTGACAGTGGCAAAAAGGGGAGCCCGCCTGCACAGAACCCTCTGGTGATAGGAGAGGAGCTGCAGTACTGGACGGAAAAGGTTGGTTGTAAGATAAGATAATATCAGATATGAGAATGCTTTATTGTCCCAGAAGGAAATTTGTGTTGTGTTGGCTATCCCGATGTTTAAGTAGCCCAGGAATGTCATTTCCATTATTTTGATCAGAAAAAATGGTTATGTTAAACATTTATTTTCTGTTAGAAGCAATATTATTTGTGTCTATTAACTTGTCATTATAGTTTGCAAATGCAACTTTGTAAATTGTCTTTTTTTTCACAATATCCAGGTGACATTTCTTATAGCTCGCTTTCATTTATATACTTACTTTCTCTTATACTATGGGTGTAGAGGGCAGATGCAATTGTCGGATATATTTCATTTGTATATTACACTTTATTATGTATGGAAAATAAATTACCACCTCAAGAAAGGTTTGATATCTGTGTGGCAGGTAGTCTGTTTCGTTTCGTTTCTGTTGTTCTCTTTACTTCAGCAATTATGATTTTGGTATGAAAAGGGGGATCATGTCTGTCTGCGTTGACACTTGCATTTTTATTTTTGTCACTTATTACAAGTCCCTTGTCGTGGAGTTTTAGACTTAAACCCCCCCCCCCAAATAATTCAGCCCAATTAATTTTGTTTTATGATGTATGTTGTGCAGGATGGAGACCCGCCGCTGTTCCGGCATATCGAGGCTATGTACTCAGAGCTGGTGGGGTTGGGCAGAGACGGGCGCATCTACAGCTGGAAGTGGACCGATGCAGAACCTTACAGACATCCTGACGTGAGTACTGGCCAGCTAATATGTGTCATGACGCGCTGGAATCAGGCGCTAGTCAATTTCTTTGACATATGGAGTTATGTGTATAATTTTAAAGCTTGTTTATTTGTCTATCTTTCGATAAAAAAAATTACACGTTTATCTTGAATAGAGGTTGAATGAGATATTTGCGATTGAATGAGGTGGGGTCACCTGGTTTCGGAGGTAAATTTAATGAGAAAATGGCCACCAAAATTATTTGATTTCCATAGCGTGAGAGTGTTTGAAAACTGAAAATTTCCATTTTTGTGCCTTTCATCTACATTTTTCAATAAAATTCACACAGAAATGTGTTTTGAAATGGACGTTACAGGTATTGAGACAAAAGATAATTCTATCAAAATTGCCAAACTAGTGGGAATATGCCAATATCTTCGATTTGATTATTTTGACAAGCGCCTGATTTCACTGTGATGCCTCACATGTGTGAGATGTGTTGATTGAATGAGAATTTTAGCCCTATGGTAATGATACATTTAATTTATAGGTGGAGTTTGTACAAGTTATAAGTATGAAAGAAATAATGATAGGCATGTTAATAAACTCAAATGGCATCAATTGAAAATCTACAAATTTGACCCCCCCCCCGGTGTCAATTTTCAGCTGATATTTCCAATCGTGGATAGGGAGACCTGACTCATTTTGTCAGCATGCCTCACGTATGTGTGTGGCACAGAAACACTCTTCACCTATTTGGATGTTATTTTTGGTATCATTCAGCATCCGTAGTGAACTGGTTAAACTCTTGGCCTTGTGTGCAAAAGATTTAAGTTTGATATACATACAAGGGGGATAGATATTTTATTTCTTTCTCTCTTTCTGCTTTTGTATTTTCAGATCTTACAGTTTTTACAATGTTGTATTTTGTTTTTTTTTGTTGTTGTTTTTTTAAATTGCTGAAATGGACAAAGGTCTTTGAAAGGACGAAAACCTCCTATAGATATGATTTTTTTTTTTCCCAGATGAAGGTCTTGCTTATTTCTCTAGTTGTTTAGCTTTATTTTTGTAATTTTCACTGTTTTGAACTGATTGGTCGTTTTCTTCTTGTGTGTGTACGTGTACAGAATCCGAATGTCCGTCACCCAAAAGCCATACATCTGGGTCTTCAGTACGAGCGAGGAACACTGTTGTCTGCCTGCGGTGTACGGGCATCTGTTCTCACAGAGTCTTTCCGGGTAAGACATTTGATTTTTGTTCACTGTTGTTTATTGCACATGTAATAATTGCATGTGTCTACCACACTGTGGCACTGTATATCTGAGAGAGAAATTGTAAATTAGTCTTTCTAAAAACAGGTCTCTGAGGGAATTTTACAGAAAAATGTAGATCAAAAGCTTAGGAAATGTAAATTTTCAGTTTCCATTGTCTCTTGATTTATTGAAGTCTTCAACATTGGGGACCATTTTCTCATCTCCCTTCAACTTCAAATATCTCGAGGACTATTCGAGGCATATAGGTATTTTTGTCCTCAAAAGAAAGACAAATAAACAAGCTTTAAGATACCAATAGCTCCATATGCCTAAAAATTGGCGAGAGCCTGGTTCCACGGAGTCCTGACGTAATTAACTGTCAAAACCGTAAGTGCGTATCAGTTCTCACGGCTTTTATTTAATATCCATTTGACTACTGTCCAGGCGAAGCTTTATCATGCCTACTGGTTTAGTCATTGATTTTGATGGAAAGCTGTTAGACGAATCTAAGCCAATTTGACTTCAAGACCATAAGCAAGTATGTATCGAGTTTCTACAGCTTTTTTAAATCGTTCGTTTAATTACAATTACAGATTGCCACGTGGCTTGACGAGTCGCTGAGCACAGTTTCCTCCAAGTTGGAGCACGCAGCCATGCAGTTCTCTGAGTTCCTCTCCGACAGAGTGGTCTCCCTGCATACTTGCACGCTCTACACGTGCGCGCGGCTAGAAAGTGGCGCCCTCTACTGGTGGTGAGTTTGTGTCAGTGTGTGTGAGACCGTGTAGAATTTTGTGGGTGTGTTAGAATTTAGTGTGGGTTGGTGGTGTTTTATTGTCAGTATTTTCGTTATCGAATCTGCTGCTAGTTGTTTTTTTTGGTGTTTTTTTTAAAGTGCCTGGTATTTTTTCAGATTCTTATTAAAACAACTGGATGGTTTGCGGGTGCTCTGGAGTGGCTTGCTCCTCCTTTCCTGTCTAACACCTATCGCCCATATCTCTCCCCGTTCTGTTTTGTGCTTGTTACTCTCTAGTAACACCTGTAATCTTGGGCATTTTATGACCGTATTGTGTTGCTAGTACTTTAAAACTCTTTAACTAAAAGTGAGACTAAAAAACCACTGGTATATATGCAAGGTACCACTTCATCACTCTCCTTCTGTAGTTCTGTTGTATTGGTCTAGTTCCTCTGTAACACTAAATGACTGAGATTGTTTCTATGTGCTTCTCTTTACCCCAAAAACCTAAGTACATCTCAGTGTTTGGGATGTTTTGTTAATGTATATGAATGTTAACCATAACGACTGTTATTTGCAGATGGTTTGCAGGAGCTCTGGTAGGGTTTGCTCCTTCTTTCCTATTAAGCAGCTATCATCCATATCTCTCTTCCTGTTCTTTGTTTGTTACTCCTTAGGAATATCTCCAGTCTTCAGCACGTATCTCTTAATAACGTTGCAAGTGCTGTAAAACTCTGAAACCAGAAAATGACTGGGTTTTTTTTTCTTTCCTTCACAGGGGTGTGATGCCGTTTGTCCAGCGAAAGAAACTGGTGGAGAGATTGAACAAGAAGAAGAAGGCGAAGGAGACGGTGTCCTCCTCGGAGATAGTCACGGGCGTCACTGTGTGTCTGCGCAGCGCCCCCCTCTACAACGCCGGCGCCATCGCCTTCTCCGAGATCAACGGTGTCCCCAAAGTGGGTCAGCTCCTCGAGGCGGCCTGGATGCTGGGAGACAGCTGTCGGTTCCGAATTCGACAGCCTGGCAGGTGAGATCCTTTTTCTTTTCTTCTTCTCTCGACTGAATGAAGTAGAAATGAACTTGACTGGTTACTGTTTACTTACACCTTGCCTTATAAATCTTTTATTCTCAAAAGAAGGAATTTGGATGTAGTTAGTATAATCTCTGGTCTGTTGATATATTTTATCACATTTATTTGCTGGAAATTAGATTGAAATATTAATAGCACCTATGTGACACTCTTATCCCCTGTGTATTGCTCTGTTTACTGTCTCTGGGTTAAATGTATGTAAATAACTGGTATATTTTTGAATGTATAACACATTCAGTTTGCTTCAAGTGTTGGCTCCTTAGTTGTTTTATTAGCGACAGTTGTCTCATTATGTGATCCTTGTGTGCTCTATTCTGGGCAGAGCCATATATGACTGTCCATTGTACATCCTAAAGTCAAGTGTCATGCTACTTAAACACTCTTAGACTTACTCTATTTTGGAAGATGTCTGACATCATGGGCAGAATTGAAGGAGAAGAAAAAGCGGCAAATATACATTTGGAGTCCGCTGAAACCGAACATTTTCCATCTGAAAACACTGGTAGTCTGAAAGCAAATTGAGTCCTAGATTGTTTGGTTTTGCTATTTGAGGAATGTCTTTCTACTGAAAACATGGCCAAATGGAAGAAGACCTGATGGTTCCGCAGACTTCAATGTAAGCAGACTCCTGTACTTCTTAAACGATTTTCCTGTCTTTTTCTTACATTGTCACGGTAGTCATTGCGGTCATCGTCGTTATATTTCCCTCAGTTTCAGCGAGGTGAAGGCAGATACCCTGAAGCCAGAGACGCCTAAGAGCAGCGAGATTAAGACAGACATGCCTCCCCCGTCGCCCGCCTCATCCGTGTGCAGCGATCATAGCAGTGCCTCAGTCTCCACGAGTTCTCTGAGTACGTGCTCATTCTGTCTGTGATGTCTTCTTCTCCCCCCCCCCCCCTTCTGTATGGTTACTTAATGAATGTGATTGGTAGCTGTGAGCCTAGCAGGAAAAGCTAGCTGTTGGAAAGGAGAGGGAATGTGTTATTTGATACACATGTTTTTTTACTACCTACAAGAAGTAAGACATACTGTTGTAGATCTTAGCATGCGGTTTTTATAATGCCAATGTGCATAACTATGACACAAAGAGATGACAAAGGCAAAAAATAATTGTTGGTGACGTTTTGGCGCTTGATACCATAGATAAAATGAACAAATTGTTATTCTGAACGTTTTGCTACTCTCAGAGCTAGATACTATGAACAAATTGTCATTCTGCCTGTTTTGCTACTCTCAGAGCGCAAGAAGGGTCCTGTAACCCCTGTGAAGGATGACGAGAAGGAAGAGCGGTGGCCGCTGAAGCACGTCGTCTTTGTGGAGGATGTCAAGACCGTGCAGCTGGGCAAGGTCCTCAAGGTCAGAAACACTTGCATAGATAGCAGTGTACTATATTTGGGTATGCTGCCCTCATGAGGTGTCTGTAGCGTAGTTGGGGGTTACAGTCTCGGCTCGGTCTAATGTTTTGTCCTTGGGAAAGGCACTTTATGAGAATCTCCTATTTGGCTTGGTCTTCTTGGAGATGGACATTAAACTCTGAGATCCTGCCTCTTTATTAACCTAGTAGTATTAATAGGGTTGTTATTCGTACTAGGTCTGCTCCTGCGAAATACCGCGTTTAGAATGACGATAAATGGATACAAAAAGACAGCGAAGGGAAGAAAAGTACGTACACCAGTCCAGCATGAGACAAACACAGAACTGTCACATGGAGCGTAGGCATTGAAATGAATGCCTTGAAATCAGCTCTCCAGACCACACTGTTCGTTTACCCCTTTGTGTTGTGCCACTGCAGGTCGACGGTACGTGCGCTGCCGTCAGATTCCACAGAGACGCCGACGCTGCTGGCTCCAGCAAGGAGGACCCCATTGCTCTGCTTCAGGACTGCCGGCTGTTGAGGAAAGACGAGCTACAGGTACTCATTGTTTTATTGCATGCTGTGGTGCTCTCTCCCCTCCCTGCCCCCTTTTTGTCTTTAAGTATGGGGGGGGGGGGGATGTGCTAAGACTTGGGTATCAAAGAGTTAAGTCACACATTTGGTCATTGTTCATTGATGATTTGAGGGGGGGGGGTTAAATTTTTTTTTAATGGGCAAAATCATTGTGGTGTTCAGTGGATGCTTCTGGTGGGTCTAATTTCGTAACAATTATTTTGTTGTTGTTGGTTAGATCTTTATCTCGCCCCCCCACCCACCCTCTGCACTATGAATGTTTATTGTTCTTTATAGTTCTTTTATTTAACCCAAACTCCATCTTGTCTTAGGTGGTCAAGGCTGCCGGGGGTCCCAAGAGTCCTGACTGTTTCCAGAGGTTGCCCAAGAAAGTGGCGGTGGCGGAGAACGGACAGATTGAGACGGTCACTGTGGACCCAGAGGGTGAGTAGAGGGACAGAGAGAGAGGGAG